CTTTGGGACGGCAGTGGTACAGTTCGGTCCACTGATCGGATTGTGATAAAGTTCTGTCACTCTTTTATGAACTTAATTGTTCTTAATTCTTGAACATGCTTCCATTTCGAGTGAAAGTACTTGGTGCAGAGGGTTCCATGCTCGAACTCGCCAGACGACGATGATAGATTCCTCTTGACCAGTTGTCGACTAGCTTTACTGGAACATTCTTTTTGACGTTTTTTCCAAGCCAATCTCTCTCGATTCCCGTGCGAGCTGCTAACCTTTCGTTCTTTCTACGACGAACATCATCAGAACAGCCAGAATTCAAGCTAACGAGTCAAGAACAGTCTTTTGCTCATCCATACACACTCTATTTCTGAACTGTTTGATGAGGAACAATGTAAGTCGGTTAGCTCCAGTCATATGCCGACCCCGAAGCATGTGAGTGTGTTTGTCTCTTTATGTGTACGCGTCTTTATGTGTTTGCAAATGTATACAACCAGCAGTGATGGCTCAAAGCAATAGGGACATCTTTTCTCAACCATCAAGATTTGCTGACCACTATCAACCCCTTTCTCGATATATTTTGACCAAGGTTGGTTTATGTTGATGAGCTTTCTTGTCTTAATGTGAGAGAGCGATGGTGAACTAAGATTGCAGAGAAGCGATCGTAAATTTCCTTCTCATGATCTATTGTTAATCTCAAAATCCTACTCAATATGAATATAAGTAGTGCAGTTGATTGTCAAATCAAAATATGCGTTTGCTTCATGACAATCGCGGTGGGATAAAAGTGTGATGTGTAAAATACATGAATTGCTTTGAATGTCACATCTGCTCTGTGGCACACTGACAAGCGTGGTGGGGACATGTCGAAAATGAGCTTTCAATACCATGACCTGTATCCGATTCCCGTTGGTCAGCCGAGTCCAGCCTGAATAAGAATACATTTTGGAAGTAGGACCAAGTGAAACTCAATGCCCTTTTGAGGTATTTAAAGGCAGAGGGGTTTGTAGAAATGCATTTGATGATATAATTTGACATTAATTTCCATTTGAAGGAGAAAATTAGTTGAAATAAATGAGTAAAATTGTCTCGCCGGAAACCGGAGGAGGATTGGCTCATCGTCCTGCGGCCTCGATGAACTTGTGCTGAGCTTGCAATTGTACCGTTGTGGCAGTCGTCAGCAGAGCATGAATGCACACTTTATGCTGGCTGCAACGTTTGTCACTTGTTTTCATACACATCTGCTTGCGATGATGTAGTTGAATGTCTCAAACTTACTCGACCTGCTTGGAGATGAGTCGGATTAATGCGAAAACGGGAAGAGGACTCGAACACATAAACTTCAGGTTCATGAATTAACTTGACTCATCTTCAAGCATGTCGAATGAGAGTTTGAGGTGGCAAGAAGATGTGATCAGAATTGCAACCGGAAAACTTTTCTTTTGGTTTAGTATATTTTTTGCGTTATTTCATAAAAGGGGCATTGTTGCTTTGATGTGGTCTGTCGCGGAGGTACAGACGAAGGCTGAGCACGGCTTCATCGGGGCCGATGATTTGTTTCTACAATCCGCCAGGTTTCAGTCTACAGAAATGCCACTTCGTCTTCTGGTGAGAACATTTCATGAATTCATTCCAGTCAACTTTTTGTTTGAAGCAGAAAATCATGCCACAATTGGGAGGCACATTGCCGAGATTGTGTGAAATACAATTACATGCGGCCCGGGAGGCATACAGCTCTTGATCTGGGTCCACTTTTTCCTCTTCTTTGACGTCTGGTGGCGGCAGAGAAGTCGGTTCTTACGACCGCCTCTCGACTGGAAGTGGACATGCTCTGAACTGCCTTTTGTCGCATCAAATGGAAAGAGGATTGTGTGAAACATGCGCCCATGTCTCCAGTTGACGACACAACATTCTCCGATCACGTCCAGTTGACGAGGATGGGCGGAGTAGACGCAGGTGAGCATAGCACAACATGGCGGAAACTAAATTGTGTGCAACAAACAGCAAATTTCTGCATAAGTTGGTGGTCGTCGGCAAATATGCTCACACCCGATTCAACCGTTTCCTGAAATCCGCTTTATAAGTTCGAGAAGACGACAATCTTGAGCGATAAAAGGGGTTCAAACCTTACGTTGCTCGGGGAAAGGTACCATTTTGACGCTTTCTCTGGCCCTAGACATTTGGAGATCCAATGAAATTTGATCAATTGGCGTGACTGGCTCAAAAGGGGGAAGGAGCGTAATGGTGATTGAGTTGTCAACCGTTTCACGGTATCATGTGGCCCATTAGGCCCATTGATTTGAAGTCTACTGACTTTAGACTTCGGCTTGCGGAAAGAGGCAATTTTATATGCGAAGAAAAGTTGGGTTTCGAGGAATCTTTTATTCCATAATTGTTGAGCTGACTTGCATTTCGAGTGAAGGTGTTTGTTTCCAATATGAAAAGTTTTTTTTGATCCCGGCTTCTTCAAAATACATATTCAAAATGCAAAAAAAAGTTAGGTTTCGAGGAATCTTTTGTTCCAAAATTGTTGAGCTGACTTGCATTTCCAGTGAAAGTGTTTGTTTGCAATATGCAAAGTTTTCGTTGATCCAGGCTTCTTCAAAATTCATGTTCAAAAAAGAAAGAAAAGTTTGGTTTCGAGGAAA